CAAACATCTTCACCAAATCTCCTGTTAGCAGCCTTTGCTCTAAGAAGGATAATTTCAACTTCTCCAGTCTATCAACATGACTTAATTCCTCAGCCATCAAACCATTCTGGTAAATCTTTCTGAACCTTCCTCCAAAGCCTTCTCATTCTTCATCAAGTATGATGGCTCGAATGTATAGATTTCCCTTTAACTGAGATGTTTAATATAATTTAGCGATAATATAAAACACTTGGTAAAGGAAAATTTATTTGTGTAGGCAAGCGTTCGAGGCCAGATACCACAAGGAAGCACTGAGATCTTATCTGAGGAAAATAAATGACCTGTATTCATTTAATGCGGTATATTGAATTTTAAACCAAACTATATTTATTCTATGTAACAGGGTTATCAGGTGCAGTCTGGTGTTCGAGCAGTTGCGATGCCTACCAGTTCTTGTTCACTATTGCTCATTCATTGGGAGCCAGTTTAGTTCAGTTGGCTGGACAACTGGTTTGTGAAGCAGAGTGATGCCAACAAATGGCTTCGTTTCCCTCACCGGCTGAGGTTACCATGAAGATTCTACTTCTTGACTTTCCCCATCACCAGAGGAATGACCTCTCATGAGAGGTGACGTTACCATTATTGATTCGTGGGATGTGGTATCACAGTACCAGTATTTATTACCCACACCAGTTAACCTTGAGAAAATGGTTGTGAGCTGCCTTCTTGAACTGCTGCAGTCCATTTGCTGCAGATAGATCCACAATGCTGTTAGGGAGAGAGTTCCAGGATTTTATTAGAAAGATTAGAAAGAAAATTTGTCACATGTAGTAAGTATAGGAATGCATAAGTACAGTGAAAAGTAGACAAAGTCACCATTCACTGGCACCCACTTGGCTACAAAAAGCAGAATTAAAAGATTTTAACAGAGCCAACAGTAGGCAAGAAAAAAAAAAGTCCAGATCTCAGAGTCCCAAGTCCCATCTCCACAATGGTGCAGGCGCCGCTCCAATCGCTAGGACACCCAGCAGGCCGCTGCTGCCATGCGAAAAGCCCACTCTCACTGCTGCCTCCCTGGCTCGCTCTCGCCGCCCACTGCTGCTGCCTCCCCGGCTCGCTCTCGCCGCCCACTGCTGCTGCCTCCCCGGCCCGCGCTCTCTGCCAACCCGGCGCACTCTTGATCTGCTGCCGTTGCTCTGGCTCACGCTCGATCCACCATCACTGCAGGACATGGCTTGCGTGTTCAGCTCCCACCTTGTGATTCCCAGTCGTGGTCCGAATCATTCCCAACTCCTTGGGTAGGTAGTTAAAAGGGCAGGGGGTTGGTGGGGGATAGAATTACTGCAGAGAGGAGGGAGAAGAAGAAGAGAAAAGGAAAGGGAAGTGGCGAGCAGAGTGGAGCTCCGAATGGAACGATTTACCCTGCCACCATCTTGCAGCTAATTGACCCAATGACACTGAAGGATGGCAATATATTTCCAAGTCAGGGCAGTGAGTAGCTTGAGGGGGAACTTGCAGGTGATAGTGTTCCCTGCTGCCTTTGTTGTTCTAACATGGTAGTGGTTGTTGGCTTGGAAGCTGCTGTCTAAGGAACCTTGGTGTTCTGCAGTGCATCTTATAGATGGCATACACTACTGCTACTGAGCATCAGTGGTGAAGGGAGTGACTGGCACCACATCCACAGACAGTCAATTGGACTGCTTTGAAGTTGGTTTCACGCTTCTTGAGTGTTGTTAGAGCTGCAGTCATCCAGGCAGATGGGAAATATTCCATCACACTCCTGAATTGTGCTTTGTGCATGTGGTAACAGGCTTTGGGGAGTCAAGCAGTGAGTCCCTCACAATAGGAATCATAGCCTGAGACTCGCTCTTGTAACCACAACAGTTATATGACCAGTCCAGTTCAGTTTCTGGTCAATGATAACCCCCCACAACATATTGATAGTGGGGGCAATGATTAGGTCCTTTCTTACAGAAACATAGAGCTATACAGCACATAAATAGACCCTTTGGTCCAACTCATCCATGCCGACCAGATATCTTAAATTAATCTGGTCCTACTTGCCAACATTTGGCCCATATCCCTCTAAATCCTTCCTGTTCATTTACCCATCCAGATGCCTTTTAAATGTTGTAATTGTACCAGCCTCCACCACTTCCTCTAGCAGCTTATTCCATACACACACCACTCTCTGCATTAAAAAGTTGCCCCTTAGGTCTCTTTTAAATGTTTCCCCTCTCACCTTAAACCTGTACCCTCTACTTTTGGACTCCTCCCATCCTGGGAAAAAGACCTTGGCTATTCACCTCATGATTCACCCCATGCCCCTCATGATTTTTTAATTCTCTGTGACCTAATGTCCTGTACAGCCGCAACATGACATCCCAACTCTTATACTCGATGCACTGACCAATAAAGGCAAGTGTACCAAACACCACATTCACAACCCTGTCTGACTCCACTTTCAAGGAACTGTGAACCTGTATGCCCAAGGTCTCTTTGTTCAGCAACACTCGCCAGGACCTTACAATTAAGTGTACAAGTCCTGCCCTTGAATGCCTTTCCAAAATACAATACCTCACATTTACCTAAATTGAACTCCATCTGCCATTCCACGGTCCATCGGCCCATCTGATCAAGGTCCCGTTGTATTCTGAGATAATCTTCTTCACTGTCCACAACACCACCAATTTTGGTGTCATCTGCAAACTTAGTAGCCATCCCTTCTATGTTCACATTCAAATAATTTACAATGACAAAAAGCAGTAGACCGAACACCAATCCAACAGCACACCATTGGTCACAGGCCTTCAGTCCGAAAAACAACCCTCCACCACCACCTTCTGTCTCCTACCTTCAAGCCAATTTTGTATCCAAATGGCTAGCTCTCACTGGATTCCATGTGATCTAACCTTGCTAATCAGCCTACCATGCGGATTTTGTTGAACACTTTGCTGAAGTCCCTATAGACCATTTCCATCGCTCTGCCTTCATCAATCTTCTTTGCCATTTCTTCAAACACCTCAATTAAGTTATTGTGACACAGTTTCCCAGGCACAAAGCAAATGCTGATTGTCCCTAATCAACCCTTGCCTTTCCAAATATAGGTAAATCCTGTCCCTCAGACTCCTCTCCAATAACTTACTGACCACTGACATGAGGCTCACTGGCCTGTAGTTCCCTGAAATAATGGCACCTTACCTGTGGCATTGATGATACAAATATCTCAGCAAGGGGCCCAGCAATCACTTCCCTAGCTTCTCACAAAGTTCTGGGATACACCTGCTCATGTCACAGAGATTTATGCACCATTGTGCATTTTAAGGCTTCTAGCACCACCACCTCTGTAATATGGATATCTCTGTTAATTTATCCAAGTTCTCTCGTTTCCATATTCTTCACAGTAAGTACTGATGCAAAATACTCATTTAGTATCTTGCCTGTCTCCTGTGTTTCCACGTGTATATGGCCTAGTTGATCTTTAAGGGGCCTTATTCTCTCCCTAGTTATTCTTTTACCCTTAATGTATTTGTAGAATCTCTTTGGACTCTCCTTAACCCTATTTGCCAAAGCTATCTCATGTCCCCATTTTGCCCTCCTGATTTCCCTTTTGAGTATACTCCTACTTCCCTTAAAGTCCTCGAGGGATTCACATGAACCTAGCTGTCTACACCTGCCATATACCCCCTTCATTTTCTTGACCAGAGCCTCAACTTCATCTGGCATTCCCTATACCTACAAGCCTTACCCTGCACAATAATAAGAACATACTATCTTGTTGGATATGGACATTGCCCGCCACTTATCTGGCATGAATGTTACTTACCATCTGTCTGTTCAAACTTGGACATTGTCCAGGTATTGCTGCAATGAGACAATGGCTGTTTCAGTATCTGAGGAGTCATAAATGATGCAAAACATTGTGCAATCATCAGAAAACATCCCCACTTCTGATATCATGATGGTTATTGATGAAGCAACTGAAAATGGTTGGCTGTCAGCCACTACCATGAGATATCCCTGCAGAGATTCCTGGGGCTCAGATGACTGGTCTCCAACAACCACAACCAATTTCCTATGTGCTAGGTATGACTCCAACAAATGAAGAATTTTCGCCCTGACACCCATTGATGCTACTTACGCTAGGATTCCTACACTTGATCAGATGCAACCTCAACCTCAAGGGCAGTCCCTGTCATTTCTGCTTTGGAATTCAGCACTTTTGTCTACGTTTGAGTCAATGCTGACATGAGATTAGGAGCTGTGTGACCCTGGCAGACCCCAGGCTGGGCATCAGTGATGAGGTTGTTGTAAAGGAAGTGCAGCTTGATCGCACAGTTGATGTTCCTTTCCATGACTTTGCTGATAATTTAGACAAACTGATAGGCCAGTAATTGGTTGGGCTGGATTTGTCCTGCTTTTCGTGTACAGGATGCCTCTGGGCAATTTTTCCACATTTCCCGTTAGTTGTCAGTGCTTTTCCAGTACTGAAACAGGTTGAGTGGACTTAAAAAAATGAGTGATGAAGCAGATAAAGTTTTAAAGGGTTTTGCTAGGGCAAATGTTGGGGAGGATGTTTTTCCTGCTAGCGAAGTCCAGAACTAGGAGTTTCAGCCTCTGAATAACAGTTTGGCTGTTCATGATTGAAATTAAACTTTTTTTTAATTCAAAAAATTATGAAGTGTTAGAATGCTCAGTTCCAGAGGGCTGTTATTGTGTATTCACACAATGGATAATAGATGTTCTTAATCAATGATATGAGAGAGTACAAGAAAATGGATTTGAAGTGGAAAATCAGCTGTGATATTGAAGTTGGTGCAGGCCCAAAGCGTAGTGCATTCTACTCCTGCTCCCATTTCTCCTGTTCAACATACTAACCTCTAATGTGTTAAATATCATCATACTATTAACAACCCATAATGTGTATTGTTTACTTTGGCAAAAGCTTATTTTAGGGTCTGAAATTCCTTAAACTGCAAATACTTTTAAGAAGAAACATAAAATATTTCCATTTTTCACAGACCAGAGACTGGATCTATGCAAACTAAGCCCTAATGACAATGATACTGTAAGGGGACAGATAGTAGGTACGTATAAACATTTTTGTTCTGAAGTATAAAAACAATTATTGGAATATTTTTAACATTGATGTAAAATCAGATACTCACTTCTTTTGTTGCACTTCGCACTGTTTTATGATGTTGGATCACGTGATTGAAATTTGTGTGCAAGATTGCAGGAGAGTGATCTTTTAATCTCATTTGGTGAAATGAATCATCGAATAGACAATCGAAACATGTATTTTCATCTGCAGGAAATAATTTGAAGGCAAATCAGACTTGAATACATTTCAACAATTAAAATTATTACAGAAGGTGAAGGCAGGGTATTTACCAGGAAGTTGCAGTACAAGGAGACATAATTATACAATTAGAGCTAGGCCATTTAGAAGGCAAGCAAGATCGAGAACACTTTTAACACAAAGGATCGTTAGAATTTTGATCATTGTACCCAAAATCTTTGGATCTTGGATCAGTTGAAACTTGCAAGAATTGCAAGATTTTTGTTAGATCAGGAAATCGAGGGATATAACACCAAGTCAAGACATTACTAGATTACAATAATCTAGTTGATTGACACAACCAGTTCAAGATGACTGCAAGGTCTTTTCCTCTTTGTGTTGTTCTTGGTTGAAGAATGACATTTGACACAGGAAAAGTAGAAAAAGAGGAAAAAAAAAGCTATGTTATTTATTTAGTGTTTTATTTAATTTATATCTGTTTCTAAGTACAAGGAAATTTGATAGAGATGTGTTGAGTGAACTGAATTCTTATTTATGTCTTAACAGTAAGCCTTCAGTCTAGGGATCGGATAGGCAGTGGAGGTCCTGTCGTGGATTGCAGCCGTTTGTTTGATAATGATTTGCCAGATGGGTAAGAAAGAACTAGTGGTAATATGGTTGATTTGAGAAATTGAAACAACTTAAAATATTGCGTGATAGCAACGTACTGTGGATGCTGGAAATCCTAGCCTTTCCAATTTCTGTTGCATCAGGAACATGTTCACCTTCTCTTCAACAAAATATAATTATCATTATTACTGTAATAGTTCTCTTGCCTAATTTTATAAGCCAAATTTCTTTCTGAATTATTTTATCTAGGTACCTTGCTTTGAATAAGTCAGGGTACAAAAGTACAGTTTGCAAACTACAATGAAGAGATGGTTTTGTTGTTCTGCTCTTGTGTTGAGAAAATATAAGCAATGGTATTCGGCTTTAAAACTGGTACATAAACCACAGGAGCTGGTGTTAACTTTTTCATCTGATTTTTATGCTTCAGTAATGTTTTGGTTGACTTGCTTTGAAAGCTAAATTTATCCAGAAGCAGCATTGATCCTTAACCTATGCCTAATTGAATAAAATTGCAGGTAGATTTCTAGTTGGAAATCAACATACCCACATTGGTGACTTGTTAATATAATTAGAATTTGTGTATTGTTTCTGATCATCATTTAATATCACTGAGAGATGTTGTTGACACATGTAGTAATGAATATAATGAAGATTTGGATGGCACTTATTGCAAAATACAATTAACATGCTCATTTATTTTTTTCTTGATTTGATACCCTGAATCAGTAATGGATTGCTGCTGAATTTATTCAGAAACTAGAAAGACATGAAAAAAAACTAATAGGATTGACAGAAACTGATACGTGTATAGGTCAAGTGAGTTTAAATAGCATGCCCTGAAATTTGAATTGAATAAATTTGGAAATTGAAATCTATGTGAATGTGCATAACTAAACCATGTGCATAGATCACTGAAAGTTGCCACCCAGGTTGATAGGGTTGTTAAGAAGGCGTGCAGTATGTTAGGTTTTATTGGTAGAGGGATTGAGTTTCGGAGCCATGAGGTCATGTTGCAGCTGTACAAAACTCTGGTGCGGCCGCACTTGGAGTATTGCGTACAGTTCTGGTCACCGCATTATAGGAAGGATGTGGAAGCATTGGAAAGGGTGCAGAGGAGATTTACCAGGATGTTGCCTGGTATGGAGGGAAGGTCTTATGAGGAAAGGCTGAGGGTCTTGAGGCTGTTTTCGTTAGAGAGAAGAAGGTTAAGAGGTGACTTGATAGAGACATACAAGATCATCAGAGGATTAGATAGGGTGGACAGTGGGAGCCTTTTTCCTCGGATGGTGATGGCTAGCACGAGGGGACATAGCTTTAAATTGAGGGGTGATAGATATAGGACAGATGTCAGAGGTAGGTTCTTTACTCAGAGTAGTAAGGGCGTGGAATGCCCTGCCTGCAAAAATAGTAGACTCGCCCACTTTAAGGGCATTTAAATGGTCATTGGATAAACATATGGATGATAATGGAATAGTTTAGGTTAGATGGGCTTCAGATTGGTTTCACAGGTCGGCGCAACATCGAGGGCCGAAGGGCCTGTACTGCGCTGTAATGTTCTATGTTCTAAAAGTAAAGAAGACATGACTATGAAATTGGATTCTCTGAATGCTAAGTACTTCACAAGATGTGCCCTAATTGTTTTAAGGACAAATGCAAGTTTACAAATTGTTTTCCTTGGATTTAATCAAAAACTAAGTACTAATGGCTTGTAGTTGTTTGAAAAGAAGCTGCTGCTAATGACATGAAGCAGGTAGACTCTAAGGAGATCCTGCCTGCTCAGACCAATGTGTCATCTTCATAGTTCTGTAGCAATTGTAGTGAGGTCAGCCAGGTGGACCTCATAGAATGAGTTCCCTGATTGGTGCTGTTAATCTGGCTGATAGTTTAGAATAGGAGCGTTAGAGCTTCTGTTCGTGCAGAGCTGGCACTGAAGGAGCTTGATCAGTGCCAAGGACTTTCCATGTGTAAATAAAGGGTGACTTGATGATGGGATACCAGCCTCTATGGAGTTATTTCAGGTTGAACATAGGAAGTGTAGGAAACTGAGGCTCCGTAGAACTTACCAGTGTGGGAATATTTTATTTTCACGATTTCTTTTAATATTAAACAGCTTCCTACATGTTTAGAAAAAAAGCACAAGTCCTTAGCTAGAGTTTACTCCTTTAAAGAAGGGGTCTTATCATCTCACTCGGTTTATGAATCAAATAACTTCTAATTATTTCACCTCCGTATACAAATCACAAATTAATTTATACGATTTGGCTTGCGTATAGATCTTCGGCTTTACTAAGTTTCAGATTGCTTCTAAAATTTTCCAATTTACAAGTCCCCCTGTAGCCAAAACTTTAATATTACTTGATTAAGTATGGTTCAAGTTGACTTTTTGCACTTTGGAAATACCTTTGAAGGCAACTCGGTCCTACCTCCTGCTTAGTCACTGGATTTGTTTTTCGTATTTTGTGCTCCTTGCTGTTTACCAAACTCTATTCTTGACACAAAACAGAAATTGCTGGAAAAGCTCAGCAGGTCTGGCAGCATCTGTGAAGGTAACAACAGAGTTAACGTTTCGGGTCCGGTGACCCTTCCTGTATTCTTGACACTTATCCCGATAAGTTACAAACCTGAACAAGCACTATTAGTGTCTCTGGTGTGAGGTTATAATAATGAAGGGAGGTGGATTTAAGTCATTTTGAGCTACAAATTAATAAAAATATTAGTTTAAATTTTGTCCGTAGCACTGAGACTTGGTGCTGCTTGTTTTTGCAGCCGAATAATCTGTTTTGTTAGAGTAGGATATTTCCTTATTCTATGAATAGTTACATTTGGCATTTCACATTCACTAAACTCGCAGAGACAATCTATATTTTAATGTTCAATCCACAAAAGCCTCTAAACATGCAACTCCCCTTCAGTTTTGCACCAGTGAGTATAGGTTATGCATTTGCCTTGCAATGAAGTTTGAATCTACATATATCTTACTTAAGAAATTTTTTTTTATGACAAATGGTTTATGGTCACTCCACCTGACCAGGCTACATTCTGATAACTAATGAATTTGTAATCAAATTTTGGAATGTATTTTTTGATAACCATTTCTTAGTATTGAATTGTTTCCTTTATTGGTTTTGGATACATTCCTATCCCTGTTTCCAGGAGATGCCACTTACTATTCTTTGTTTCGGTTGACTAGCTGGGAAGAACGAAGAACTGCCTCGGGTCGAATACAGTATCTAAACCACATCACACGAACAACGCAGTGGGAGAGACCTACTCGGTAAGTGAAGAATAATGGCAATCTTCTTCCTGCTACGTTGAATCTGAGGTCTGTCTGTCCATAGTTAACAAGATAGTTTTGAATATGAAATAATTTGGTCAGCATGGACGAGTTGGACCGAAGGGTCTGTTTCTGTCTTGTGTGACTCTATGACTACTACTCCAGGATTATTGAAGAAAACTGGCAGCTGTTTAACATGGCATGAAAATGGAACAGTCACATTTACGTACTTTTGCTTTGAAGATCTCCTTACTCTCATGTAATCTGTCTTTTTGAAAAGAATAGCACTGCCCCATAGGTGGTCTTCTACATAATTCAACCCATTTGTGCTTTTCACTATTCTTATTTCTTTAGAATTTCAACCATATTGAATCTAAATGATCTGTTTTAAGCTTTTCCCCTACAGTTGTCCAAGTATGGGCATTAAAAATGGTATGCTGTGCTGGTTAAAATGTGGTATAAACAAAACCTTTAATTAAAATGTCTGCAATTGGATGTGTTGTTGTGCAAACAATTGTACAAAGTGAATGACAAAGTGGTTTGAATGTAATGGGTAAATGATTAATCTATGGAAAGCACTGTCCAGTGTTCTGTAATGTAATGTAATGTCCTTCATTAAGGACAACAAATGAACAATAATCAATGTAGTTTATGCTATTGCATTTTGCTTCCTAGTGACTTACTTATGTGTCTAGTGTCTCTGCATTCATAAATTTGTGGGGTCCCACCATGCATTTGGAACATAGCATAATTGTAGTGATAGGGTTAAAATGGATATCAGGAGCAGCTTTATTATAGTAATATTCTTTTACAGCTAAAACACAAAATCTGACATTTCATTTTGAGTTGGTGCTGCTTGCCTGTGCAGCTAGGTAATCTGTTTTGTTGGTGTAGGATATTTCCTTATTCTATGAATAGTTACATTTGGCAATTTACATTCACCTAAACTGGCAGAGACCATCTATATTTTTGAGTCTACTCTTATCTCCATTTTACTTTGAAATCCTTACTTGGACTGTTTCTGCTCACCCTGGCATCCATCCTTTATTTGGAGATTACACAAAGTTTGTGTTCAACTGGCTAAATGCTTTGTCCAGAAGTTTAATTTTGAGATTCTCAAAAGATAGAAGACTTTTTAACTAGCTACTAATGAGTAAGCAGACTGATTGAGATTAGCAGAGAAAACTGTGCCAATCTATTGGACTCTTATAAACAAGGAGTAGGCCATTTGGCCCTTTGAGTCTACTCTCCTATTTTATAAGATCATGTATAATCTGATTGTAAATTCAAATCAACATTCCCACCTATCCCTAAACTCTTTCACCCCTTGGCTTACCAGGAATCTTTGTACCTCTGTCTTTAAAAATGTTCAAAGACTCTCTCCCAAAAAAGCAGTGCAAGCAGTTGCCAAGACACTTGACCTCCTGTGAGAAAAGAATGTTGCCTTATCTTGGTTTTAAATAGATGACCTTTAATTTTAATTTATTTTCTCGGAAACAATCTTTAAATTTTTATTAAAATATAGCCTTTTGAAATATTAAAATGCTACTCAGCATACATCACCAGGATGAGTGTAGTGGCAATGATACAAATAATCCTGATCTAATAACTGATTTGTTCTGATAGCAGTTGGAGAGTTTGTAATCTGAAAATAAAACCCTGGTACCGATAAAATTGACTATGAAGCAGTTGGATTTCTATACAAATAGGAACTAGGTTTCCTTTCATTTGTCCTTTCCTGCCCTGACCAATTTATATACCTCCATTCAGACACCAACACGGTTGCATTCTAACTACCCTGTGAATTGGACTAGTGAGGCTCTCCATTTCATCAAACCACAATAAAGAACATCTGACCACATTTTTGTTCCAATTTTTTTGCTTTCCCCTTCCATGAAAATATTGACTTTGGTTAAGTTTGACCCCACAGGCTGCTTGAGTCACTCGTTCTTTTTCTCCGTATCTAGTCAGTCTTCAGCTTGGGAGGGAAAAGTGTCACCTTAGTTAAGGCCATTTGAGACTTAAAATTGTATTGTGCCTCTGCTTTTGAGCAGGGTTTTCTATGCAGTAGGTTAAGACTGGGATTCCAGATGATTTTCTTTTTCAAAAACTCAGAACTCAACTTAGTCCAGAATATTTGTGTTTGACAGAGATTAATTATCCCACTGCTGACTTGAAGTTGAACCTGAATTTGTTAGTTTGTGGGTGGAACACTTGATGACTAGTAATGGAGTTAGTTGGAGAATTTTTGAACTCAATTTTCCATTAAAAAATGTGCACATTAAATATGATCTTTTAAACACAGAAAAATGTTTATAATAATTCAGGTTACAAAATTATGTCTGTGTCTCTATAATAATTAGCTTCAATTTTTAGTATTACTTACTTGATCTTTGTATTGTCTGAAGTCAATAAAATACACGTTTATTAGGTTCCTCCCCTTTCTCCTCACCTCTCAAAATACAGTTTATGAATTGTTTATTATGGCTGGAATTTTGTGGCAGATACACTTTGTTGCTGTGAACTATTGAGCAGAGAAGAATTGGGAATCGTTGGGTAGTGGTGCTTAACACTGTTTTAAGAGTGGAAATGCAAACCGTTCTTCAAATCCCTTTTAAGAGTCAAAATTAATGTATTTGTTATCACTGCATTACATGCGTAGATTTAGCAACAAAAGTTATGTTGTCCGATATAATGTGTTTTTAAAAAAATCCCAGATAAGTGAAGAAACCATGACATCACCAGACACTGAGACCACAGTCTCCTTCATAAATTCCACCATATCTGACTCCTTCCTGCAGTACAACATGACGGATATGAGTCATGTGAGCACATAAGCCAGTCTTTCTATTTCAGTTGCTTCCTTAATGACTGGGTGAGGGGCGTGTCTGAGAGTTTCAGCTGATTGAAATGTTAATCATTCCTGCATAAAAATAGTCTTTGTTTCAATCTGTAAGTTATAAATATTATACTAAAATGAGTTAGTGGTAATTGGGTATTTATCTTATTTCAACAATGTTCTTTCGCTAGCTTTCCTGACAGAGGATACTTGCACCTTGAATGTGGTTTTCAGCCACAAGGTCCCCTAACGTTCCTATTCGGCACTCAGTTGGTGGATTTTAGGTGTCATGGCAGTGAGCATTCTGTAAATCAATACCCTAGCCACAAACAATGACTTCTGGCAAGTGCATATGTGTGGATTTCAGATGATAGCTAGATCCAACTAGTCTGATACTGTCAACAGTTCAAATATCATGTGATTTTTACTTGTAGACTCCAATCAAGATTGACCATTTGTCAAGGTGCCAAAGAGCATTTCAGTGGCTATGAAACTGCCATAACAATAATCAGCATTGTGAAGAGATGAGGAAAAGGGAGAACACTAAGGATGAGGTCTTGGCACAGCCAGAATGCAGGTGGCTTATCAATGCTGCTGTGCAATTGGCTGCTAGAAGATGAACTATAGCAACCAAAGTTGATGCTCTTTAACTTGTATTTCTTTGACCTCTCTGAAATCTCTCAGTTGCTTATACTTTCATATTTTGCCTCTGTGGTCATCATGACTGAGATACAGAGCTCAAAACAATGAACGCTATTAATCCATTGCTTAAAACAAAATGCTTTAAAGTGCGATTAACAACACTGTATTAAAAGCTACAGTATAGATTTAGAAAACTGTCTATGTTGCTTCACTCACATTGGAGCGTATAGATCAAGCAGTGGGAGAAGAGTTTGATAAATGGTATCTTGGAAAGCAAGTTAGGTGGAGGCTTAAAGATGAGGAGGAACGCATGTTTAGGGTATGAGTTCCAGAATACAGAACACAGTGAATGAAAGTTCACCGCTCCAAGGAGAATTGAATAGGCAAAGAACATTGACCAGAGTCAGAGGATTGTCTGGAAGGTCAAGTAGGTTACAGAAGTAATGTGAGGCTAGGCATAGAGGTACTTGCAAACAAGGCAAAGGAATTTGCAAATGGCATGTTGAAGAGTAGGGAACAGTTTAGGTTATTGAGGCATTTCTCTGAAACTAGGTGCAAATGATGGATTTTTTCACTAATTGGAGTCTGCCATGCTTGTAGCTTCAGAGATTAATGAGAACCACTTTGAACAGTTTTTTTTTAGTAATGAAAGCAGGATGGGACTAATTGGAATATGTTGGGGGAGGAGGGATTTGAAGAAATTAATTGAAATTATTGGATGAGGATTTCATTGATGGCACTTTCTTATGACACTCTACTTGGTCACAGGCCAGCCTCTGAATATGCTAGTCCTGGCAGGCCACTGAGTTGCATTGTGGATGAGAATACGCCAATTACACCAGCTAATGGTGCTTCATGTGGACAAACCCCTGACCCACGGATGGCAGAGAGGAGAGTGAGGTCACAAAGACACAGAAACTATATGAGTCGGACACATTTGCACCTCCCACCAGATCTCCCAGAAGGTTATGGTAAGTCATTTACTTTATGGAGAAAAACCTATTTATTGTAACTTTAGTAATTGCTATACACAATATGGTAAAATATTCAAAAGGCAGCTGTAATATCGATAAAGCTTAACTAAAATTATAACATTTAGTGTCAGGATACCTTAAATCTTATTTTTTTCGATTGGAGTGTGGTCTGGTATGTGTGGAGAGCTCAGAATTTGAGTGTAAAACACAATTTTACATAAATTTTCACTTCCCAGTCCACATTACCAAACCATTTGACAAGCTTATACATTTGAGGTTTCCATTTTGTGCATTGACTGTTAGATCATCAGATAGGCTATTCAGTCATGTTTTTCTGGGTGTTCTTCATTTTCTTCTTCAAATAATTTATCCAATCATTTGTAATCTGAAATAGTGATGTAGTGAAGCAGTGTACTAATTACTTTTTGTTGGAAAAGTGTCAATTTAACATTCAGAGCACCCTTCCAAAGAAGAGTCTTTGGACTCAAAACATTAACTCTGTTTCTGTCTACACAGTTGCTGCCAGACCTGCTGAGTTTCTCCAGCACTTTTTGTTCTTATTTGAGATTTCCAGCATCTTCAGTATTTTACTTTCATCTAACATTTGTTTCTTGTTATTCGTGTTCTTCCTCCGTTCCATTTTCTAAGGTTAGTCTTTGGCTTTGTATTCAATTATTCTCTTACACTTACTTTTGTTTTGATTTCACTTTTGCCATTCTTTTTCTTCGCATACTGCTCTGAGAAGAAATGCTGAAGGTACAATTGCACTGTCCTGCTACTGAGAAAAAGATGTCAATTTACACCGTTGCGGCTTTTCATTGTAGTAAGGGATTCTATGAAAACCTGCCTTTGGGATCAAGCTCTTCAGGACTTGAAATGAACATAGAACACAGAACAATACAGCACAGTACAGGCCCTTCAGCCCACGATGTTGTGCCGACCTATTATCCTACTAAGATCAATCTACCCTGCATACCCTACATTTTACTATTCTCCATGTGCCTATCCAAGAGTCGCATAAAAGTCTCTAAAGTATCTGACTGCACTACCACTGCTGGCAGCACATTCCACACACCCTCCACTCTCTGTGAAAAGAACCTACCTCTGTCATCTCCCCTATACCATCCTCCAATCACCTTAAATTTATGCCCCCTCGTAATAGTCGTTTCCGTCCTGGGAAAAAGTCTCTGGCTATCCACTCTCTGTATGCGTCTCATCATCTTGTACACCTCTATCAAGTCACTTCTCATCCTTCTTCGCTCCAATGAGAAAAGCCCTAGCTCCCTCAGCCTTTCCTCATAAGACCTGCCCTCCAGTCCAGGCAGCATCCTGGTAAATCTCTGCATCCTCTCTAAAGCTTCCACATCTTTCCTATAATGAGGTGACTAGAACTGAACACAATATTCCAAATATGGTCTAACCGGGGTTTTTATAGAGCTACAGCATCACCTCACGGCTCTTAAATTCAATTCCGCTGCCAGTGAAAGCCAGAACGTTTACAAGAGATTGCTCACCAGATCAGTGTCCTTCTCTGTTACCACAGTCTCATTTGATTCGTTGTAGGATATCTGGAACTCTTTGGTCATGCGGTATGTATTTTTTTTGATCTTTAGTATTATGTTTGTGTAAGTTACAGAATTATCCCTGTTGAAATATGAAGCATACCAAAAAAAAGAAGTTAACAGCATTACCATTTTAGGAAACTGAAAGGATAGTTAAGCTTTTGTAAGGCAGCAGATTTGTGCAAAGAAACTGGTAGGTCAGAATGTCTTTAAAATAGTTTACCAAAACAAACATCAAGAGTATCTAAATTATTTTTGTTATCTTGGGCCAATTAGTTTTGTACTTTTAGCTGCTTTGGCATATGTAAAGGTTTGAACTGATGTTTGTGTACTGAAGGTACTAAATACTAAAATATCTTGGTTTATAAACTTTTGGTTTGGTTTCTCTGCCATTGAGGAAGGTAAATTGAGAATAGTTTTTTTTAAAAGATTTCTGATCGGTGATATTAAAACAATGAAATAAAAACAGAAAATGCTCATAATTCAGATGAAAAGTCATTGAATTCCAACAGTAGTTAAGCTACTGGAGCTTCACAGGTTTCATGATTAAGGCTTGAGGCATATGTGAACTACATACAGTAGTATTTGTGGATAGCTCTTTCTCTGATAGGATGCTATCGCTCAGTGCCATCACTTCAAGGGATCAAGGAGAAAGTCCACCATCGTCACCTTGGGGCAATTAGGAATGAACAGTAAAGGCAGTCTTGCCATACTTGTTTAATCAGGTCTAAGCTCTGCAGTCTGGCCACATCCAGTTGGGAATGGTGGTGGACAATTAAACAACTGACAGGAGGAGGAGGCTCCACAAATAACCCCATCCTCAATGATTGAAGACCTCAACACAACAATGCAAAAGTTAAGGCTGAAGCATTCACAACAATCTTCAGCCAGAAATGCCGAGTGGATGATAGAGCGTGGCCATTCCCATTGCAGATACCAATTTCGATTCACGTGATATCAAGAAACGGGTGCACTGGATAGTGCAAATGGTACGGGCCCTAACAACTTTCTGGCAATAGTACTGAAGGCTTGTGCTGCAGAATTTGCTGCTCCTCTGTGCAGGCTCTTCAAATACAATTATGACGCTGACATCTACCCAACAATGTGGAAAATTGCCCGGGTATATCCTGTACATTAAAAGCAGGACGGATCCAACCCAGCCAATTACTGCTTCATCAGTCTACTCTCGGTCATCAGTAAAGTGATGGAAGGTGTCATCAACAGTGCTATCAAGCAGCACCTGCCCAGCAATAACCTGCTCAGTGACGCCCAGTTTGGGCCACCAGGGCCACTCAGCTCCTGACCTCATTACAGCCTTGGTTCAAACATGGACAAAAGAGCTAAATTCCAGAGGTGAGGTGAGAGTGACAGCCCTTGAAATCAAGGCTGCATTTGACCAAGTGTCTCAACAAGGAGCCCTAGCAAAACTGGAATCAATTTGTCTCGGGGGCAAAATATCTGCTGGTTGGAGTCATGCCTGGCACATAAGATGCTCGAAGATGTTGGAGGTCTGTCGTCTCAGCTCTGGGACATCTCTGCAGGAGTTTATCAGGGTAGTGTCCTCGGCCTAACCATCTTCAGCTGCTTCATTAATGACCCTCTCTGATCATAAGGTCAGAATTGAGGCAGTTCACCAATGATTGCGCAATGTTCAGCACCACTAGGAATCATGGTAGTACACAAGCCCACAGTCACTCCACGACAAATACTCACCAGGATTAAAGACCCCAGTCCCATAACATGCAGAGCCAACGTGGTTTATAAAATACCATGCAACGACTGCCACAAACATTACATCGGACAGACAGGAAGGAAACTGGTCATCATAATACACGAACATTAGTTAGCAGCAAAACGACACGACGAACTTTCCTTAATATCTGTACACTCAGACAATGAAGGCCATCAGTTTAACTGGGACAAGGTAACCATAGTAGCCCAAGCCAAACACAGACATGCACGGGAATTCCTAGAGGCATGATTCTCCACTCATAATGCAATCAACAAACATACAGAATTGGACCCCATATACAAACCCATACAGAAATGACAGTACTCACCATAATGGACCAAACAGTATAAACTCCAAGCACAGTAGAATACCATCACTTCTTTGGAGGCTCCACTGATGATGTCACCTAGCATGGTGATGAAACATCTGAACGAGAACAAACCAGCTCGGTGAGCAAGTCAACAACCTCATTCGGCACCATTCGTGACTCCTCAGATACTGAAGCAGTCCATGTTCAAAAGCAACAAGATCTGGACAATAACCAGGCTTGAGCTGACAAGTAGCAAGTAGCATTCACGACACACAAATGCCAGGCTCTGGCCATCACCAATAAGAAACAATATGACCGATCAAAGAGACCTTGGGCTGTAGGTTCATAGTTCCTTGAAAGTAGAGTTGAAGGTAGACAGGGTAGTGAAGAATTTGTTTAGTATGCTTGCCTTTATTGGTCAGTGCATTGAGTATAGGAGTTGGGAGTTCATGTTGTGGCTGTACAGGACATTGCTTAGGCCATGTTTGGAATACTGCGTTCAATTCTGGTCTCCCTGCTATAGGAAAGATGTTGTTAAATTTGAAAGGGTGCAGAAAAGATTTACAAGGATGTTGCCAGGGTTGGAGGCTTTGAGCTAAATATCAGGAGAGTGATCATAGAATCATAGAATCCCTACAGTGTGGAAACAGGCCCAACAAGTCCACAATGACCCTCCAGAGCATCCCACCCAGACTCATCCCCCTATAACCCACCTAATCTACACATTCCTTGAACCCTATGGGCAATTTAGCATGGCCAGTCCAGCTCGCTTGCACATCTGTGGACAGTGGGAGGAAACCCACGCAGACACGGGGAGAATGTCTGTATGGAGTTTGCACAGTCGCCCAAGAGTGGAATCAAGCCTGGGTTCCTGGTGCTGTGAGGGAGCAGTGCTAAGGGTTGAAAAGGCTGGGATTATTTTCCCTGGATCATCAGGGCTGAGGAATAAAAGCTTATAAAATCATCAGGGGCATGGATAGGGTGAATAGCCAAGGTCGTTTCCCCAGGTAGGGGAGTCCAAAACTAGAGGGCACACATTTAAGTGAGAGGCGTAAGATTTAAAAAGTATCTAAGGGGCAACTTTTTTGACACAGAGTAGTGCGTGTTTGGAATAAGCTGCCAAAGGAGGTGGTGGAGGCTGGAACAATTACAACATTTAAAAGGCGCCCAGGTGCGTAAATGAATAGAAAGGGTTTAGAGGGACACAGGCCAAGTGCTGGGACCAGATTAATTTAGGTTATCTGGTTGACATGGACGAGTTGGGCCGAAGGGTCTGTTTCCATGTTGTACAACTCTATGACTGTATAAACACCATCCCTTGATATTCAATGGTATTACCATCACATAATCCCCCACTATCAACATTCTTGGGGTTTTCATTGACCAGAATCTGAATTGGACCTGCCACATAAGCACAGCAGCTACAAGAGCAGGTCAGTGGCTAGGTATACTGTGGCGAGTAACTCACCTCCCGGCTGCCCACAGCCTGACCTTCATCTATATGGCACAAGTCAGGAGTGTGATGGAATACTCCCCACTTGCCTGGATAGGTGCAGCTCCAACAACACTTAAGAAGCCTGACACCATCCAGGACACAAAGCAGCCTGCTCAGTTGGCACAACATCGATTTGCATTCTTCCCTTCCACCACTGACCGTCAGTAGCTGCAATGTGTACTATCTCCAGCATGTACTGCAGATATTCACCAAAGACCCTCAGACGGCACCTTCCAAACTCATGACCACTTCCATCTAGAAGAATAAGGACACCACCACCAGCAAGTTTTCCCACTCCCCTCCCCCAAGCCACTCACCACCCTAACTTGGAAATATATCACTATTCCTTCACTGTCATTGGATCAAAATCATGGAATTCCATCCCTAAGGGCAACGTAGGTTAACTCACAGCAGGTAGATTGCAGCAGTTGAAGAAGGCAGCTCACCACCACCTTTTGGAGGGCAACTAGGGACAGGCAAGAAGTGCTAGCCAGCCAGTGACACCCATATCTCATTAATGAATTAAATTTGTTGCTCATTTGCTACCTAGCCAAAATCTTTTGAGGCTTGCAATAAGAAGGTAGTGGGAATAAAATACTTATGTTATCAAGCTACATTTATACTGGCCACTTAAGAAAACTCCAGTGGTCTTTGCATTTTTGTTACAAATAGAAGTTTTATGAAATTGCTGTATTTTGGTGCTGATAAAAGCAAAACAGGCCATGTGACCTGTCCTCGAGTCTCTCTTACAACATGTTTGGGTTACGGAATTAAAGGAAATCTCGAGCTGTTTTACTGGGAAGGAGCTGTAATATGTTTACACTTGGAGATAATGGCAACATCATCTATGTTTACACTGGTTGGGCTGTTGGTCTCCAAAGTCCCAGGAATGCTTTGAAAAGGGGAAAACTGTTATGCTTTAAGATATCCATTTACTTCCAAGATAAAAGAGAGCTGTTGTCTTGATATTCTGCCTGGATACGAGACCCGTGTGATTCATGTTGCTGTGGAGGTGGGTTTTGAAATGGAGAGAATCCTTACAAAACCATTGAGAGATCTAGTTAGAGGCTTTTCTAAAGATAACCTTGAAACTCTTTAACAGTTAATCTACCAGAATTCTGTAAAGATGGAGCAGCTACAGACTGTAAACAATTCTTTCAGAACTGAAGATTTCATACCAAACTCAACGTTAACTATGTTTATCTCTCCACAGATGCTCCCAGATGTGTTGAGTTTCTCCAGAATTCTCAGTATTTGTTTAAGATTCTTATGGGACTTGACAGGGCAGATGTCTAGGACCAGAGGGCATAATCTCAGCGTAAGGAGTCGCCTTTTTAAAACCAAGATAAGGAGGATTTTTTTTTCTGAGGGGAGTGAATCTGTGGAATTCTTTATCACAGAAGGCTGTTGAGGTAGGATAAGAAGTATGTTCTAGGCAGAGATAGTCAGACTTCTAATCAGTTAGGAACTTAGGTGGCACAGTGGCTCAG